CAAGCGGGCCCTCGGAGATCCGCTCGCCTCCCGGGGCTATCTTGCCTTTGTCGAGCGTCAAGCAACACCATCCCGTCTCTTTACCTCCGCGCCCTATCTTTCAGCTTCTCCGACGTCCACCGCTTTCCGATCCCACCAGCGCCCGTCAACATGTTCCAACTGCACTCGCCGAGCTCGACGAGCAACGTCCCGATCTGGCCGCTATCCGCCGCTCGCGTCGTGACGTAACACCGGGCTTTGAGGACGTCTTTACGCCCCCGCCGCCTGAGCATCCGCTCCCAGCGCCAGTCCCGATTCCGTCTACTGCACCTGTCCCGACGACCTCGCAAGTGCCAGAGTCGGTACAGGTTCCAGCGCCAAGTCACGCACCGATTCCGAGTTCAAAGCCCGCGCCCTCCATCCCGCGCCGCATTACGCCGGCCCCAGTCATCGAGCCCGAGCCAACGCGCGCCGAGGCACCGCAAGCGCACGAAGAAGAGGAGAGACACGGGGGCAGGGGAGCGCCAGTGCCGTTCGTGAGCGAGTCCGAGCGCGAGCCAGAGCGCCACCCCCGTGAAGAAGAAGGAGCCGCGTCAGGAAGCGGCGACGCGCAGAAAGAAGGAGCCGATCGAGTTACGTCGTCCGTCTTAGCCAAGCAAGGAGAAGGTGCCCGAGTCGTCGCAGTTCAGCCACAACCGTCGCGCCGCCAGCGTCAACGCATCAAGGCGCTTATCGACTTCCGTGCCATGGAGCAAGCTGCACTACGAGGCAAGAACACGCCTTTCGCCGTCTACGCCGAAGTCCTTAATGAGGCTACGGGCCACGTCACGGCCACGGACGCCGAACTCGATGATGGTGCCATGATGAATGTCGCATCGTATGACTTCCTCGGTGCCTACGGACCCGTCACGCTCCGCCCAAGCAACGTTTACGCCAAGCTCGGCAACAGCAAGGTCGTCAAGTCAGACGGCAGCGTCGAGCTCACAGTTTGCGTCGGCAACAAGCAGAACCTTTCGCGCACCGTTAAGCAATCGTTCGAGGTGCTGCGAGGCTACCCAGGCGCACTCCTCTTTGGCAAGCCGTGGAAAGCGGAGATTGGCATGATCCACTTCTACCGGCTCGAGCTGGCGTTCATTCCCATGCCCGACAAGACCAGTGACGGCCGCCGATGGATTCGGCTCGAGAGCGAGCGTCAGGCCTACATGCCGGGGCTGCCCGAGACGCCGCTCGACGCTCTGCGCCTAACCGAAGATGCAATGGAGGCCAACGTCGAGGAACTCGAGGTACTCGCCGTCCACGGGCTAGGCAACGCCACCGCCACCGCGCCCGCTCTTGCATTCGAGGGGGACCTGGAATCGTCGACGCCCGTCTACGAGAAGACCGACGAGATCGAGGTCCCGTTGGACGACGAAGTCGAGCTGGCGGAAAGCGATGATCAGACCGAGCCCACCGCCGCCGTGCCGCTCCACACCGTCCAACCTGCGGAGGTGCACGTTGACCACAAAGAGCTCGAGCGACTCCAGCACCTGCACCCGCTTGTCAACGAGGACGCCGATTACCTCGCTGACCGACAGAGCTATCGTGACCGTTTTCAGCCATTCCGCCTGAATGGCAGGCCAGACGACGACAGCGAGGAAAGGGCGCAGCGCATCGCCAACACCATCGCGGCTCGCTTCGGCAACGTAGGGACTCCAGCCGAGCGAGAGCACTTCAAGGCGCTCCTCAAGGCCAAGCACCTCGCCTTCGCCGAATCGCTCGCGGATTGCAAGCAGAACCGCGCTGTTGTCTGCGATCCCAAGCTTACAGCCGAGCCGCCGCCCACGACGCATCGGGGCCGTCAACAGCCGCTCTCGCCGCCGCAGCAAGAATTCTTCAACAAGATCGTCGACGAGTACATGAAGAACAACATCATGCGCTACATCGCCGAGGATGAGGTCAGCGTTGTGTCCGAGACACGGATCGTGCCAAAGCCCTCGTCCGAGTATCCGCCCGTCTCGCTCGAGGTCCTCAAGCAGATCGTCAACGCTGCATTGAAGAAGGCGGGCCTCGAACATAACCCGACGATCCCTGAGCCCGACCCAGCGGTCCTCGCTCGCCCACCGCCCACCGAGAAGAAGTGGCGTCTCGTGACCAATTACGCTGGCGTCAACAAGTACATGCGCGACAAGTCCTTCTATCCAGGTGACATGGACGTCAAGATGGGCAAGCTGTCCGGCAAGCGCTATGTCTTCAAGGTGGATGGTTGCTCCGCCTTCTTCGTGGCGCTCCTCTCCGCCTGCGGGATGCTCCTCTCGACGACCTGGGTGCCTGGCCGCGGCTATGTCGTCTACATGGTCATGCCCTTCGGCTTCAAGATCTCGCCGTCTGTCTTCAATCGCTTCATCGTCGAAGCGTTCGGCGACATCTTCGACTGCGATACGACCTGGTGGATGGACGACAGCGGCGGCGGCAAGCAGAGCTTCGGCGACTTCTTCGAGTTCAACCGGCTCTTCCTCGACCGCTGCATCGACGTCGGGTTCACGCTCTCGGTCAAGAAGTGTTCCTACTTCCACGAGGAGGTGCAGTTCTGCGGTCACATCGTCGGTCAGCATGGTATCCGCGTCGATCCCGAACGCCTCCGCGCCATCGTCGACTGGCCCAAGCCTGCCACGGTCCGAGAGTTGATGCAGTTCCGCGGCACGGCCTCGTATCTGCGCAGCAAGGTGCCCGACTTCGCTAAGCACTTCGCGCCCCTCGACGAGCTGACTCGCAACGTCGACGACTACGATAAGTCCCTCGACGAGATCTGGGGCCCTCGACACGACGCCGCATTCCTCCAGGTCAAGCAGCAACTCGTGAACTGCCGCGTCGTACGAGAGCCGCGCTATGACGGTCGCCCATTCTTTGTGCATTTGGATTGGAGCGGTGAAGGCATCGGTGCAGTCCTGCTGCAGGAGTACCTCGTCCAACAAGATCCTGTCACGAAACGGTGGGACGTCGTGGAGGACATCGACATCCGCGAGCCACTCGACGCAGCATCGACGCCGACGTCTGCCGACCAGCCCGATAAGCCCCAGGTCAAGATCAAGCGAGTCGTCTTCCCGTTGGCGTATGCGAGCAAGCGCAACACGGAGCGGGAGCAACGTTACCCAGCACATCTCGGCGAGCTCGTCGCGGCCAAGTTCGCGCTGGACAAGTTCGCACCGTACACGTTCGGCCAGCCCATCGTCCTGGTGACTGACTGCCAGGCGCTCAAGCAGATCCTCGACTCCGACCGCTTCCCCAATGCGCACGCCCGTTGGCGGGAGGAACTGCTCCGCCACGACATCGTCCGAGTCGAGCACGTTACGCCTCCAGCAGCGTCTTACCTGGCCCCGTCTCGTTCACGACGTCGCCGACTTCGTCAAGCGATGCCAGACGTGTCAGCAGTTTGGCCCAACCGAGGGAACGACGCTCAGTCCCGTCGTTGTGATTTCGCCGATGGAAACATGGGCCGCCGACTTCGTCTCGCTGCCGACCTCTCACGGCGTCAGCAAGCTTCTGGTGATCATCGCCTACTTTTCACGCTTCACCTGGGCATTCCCCGTGCGTGCCGCGACTGGCAAGGAGGTCGTCAAAGCGCTCGCGTCGCTGCGCAAGGCGCTCGGGCACCTGCCGCATACACTCGTGACCAACGGCGGCAGTCACTTCGACTGCCAAGAGGTCGCAGTTTACCTCGAGAGCGTTGGAACGCTGCACCACATCACGCCAGCCTACGCACCATGGGTCAATGGCATGGTCGAGCGCGCCAACCGATCTCTCCTCGATGAGCTGAAGAAGCTGTCAGCGCCGGCAGAGATCCCACTGGGCGAGATCGCTTCCGCGCAGTGGCTCCCAAATCTCGACGAAGCTCTCCGCGCCATCAACCGCCATCCGATGAAGGAGCTTGCCGACTTGTCGCCTTTGCAGCTGCACTACGGCCTCACGCGCTACCCGCGCGAGGATCTTGTCGCCGCGACCGTCGAGCCAACAGTCGAGCAACGCCAGCTGGCCCGCGCGTTTGTCGATGTCGATCGTGAGCGCGCCCAGATCCGTCACCTCGGCAGCCAAGACCGCCAGCTACGCACGTCAGCGCCGCAACATGAGCCCGAGGAGTTCAAAGAGGGAGATCTCGTCCTCAAGTACGAAAGCAGACTCCGTTCGACCTACGCTACCGCTGCCAAGCTCGCACCGCGCTGGACAGGCCCATACGTCGTCGAGGCCAAGTTCCGCAGGTCCTACCGCATTCGACTTCTCGCTGACGCGGCCCACATCGAGCGCGCGCACCGTCGACGCCTCAAACGCTTTTGGCCAGCGCTTCCCGAGGACAACGCAGACCTCAACGCTCTCGACGCCGCCTTCGACAAGACCGACGATGAGACTCCCTGAGCCGTGACCCGAGCCTCCACATGATCCAGTGATTCGGTTCCGATTCCCGTTTTCCTTTTCCGTCCTCGTCTCGTTTCCGCCCCTGTTCCAGTACCGCCGTCAGTCTTTTCCCGCCCGAGAGCTTCGGCTCCGGGACGGAGCCTTTTCGGGTTGGGGGCTCTGCCAACGGCTCCGAGGCGCGCATTTTCGCATTTCCGATTTCCGAGCATTTCCTGTATTTTAGCCTCGCGCGCGCGCGCATCCCCCCTGCCAGCGAACCACCACCTTCCGAATCCAGCTTCCCTCGCTTTGGCTCGTTTTCAACGCTGTTGAGCCCGCGATAGTCGACGCAGAGGCGGAGGGAGCCGTCCTTCTTGGGCACGAACAGGATCGGCGCGGCCGCGGGGCTCTTCGAGGGGCGGATGAAGCCTTGGGAAAGGTTCTTGTCCAAGTACTTCCGCAGCTCGTCGAGCTCCTTGGCAGACAGGGGGTAGAGGGGGCCGTGCGGTATGGTCTTGCCGGGCTCCACAACGATCTTGTGGTCGCTAGGGCGGTGCTGCGGCAGGGCGTCCGCACGAGCCTCGTCAAAAACGTCAGCGTAGTCGGCGAACTCCCGCGGGAGCTCGGGGGGCCCGTCCGGTGGCGGCGGAGGGTCTCCTGGCTCCGGCGGTTGTTCGCCAGGGAAATCGTGGATGGTGCAGATGCGGATAGGGCCTTCTTCTCGGGCTAGCCGTACGAGCTCCTCGGCGTCGACGAACTGGAAAGAGCGGGCGGAGACTGCCGCGGACGCGATACGGTAGGGCACGCTTGGCGACGCGCTTCCCGAGGGGCGGGTGCGTCGCCGCGGTGCCTTCATAATCATCTCGCGGCGCTCCCAGTTGTACTGCGGCTGGGTGCGCTCCATCCAGTCCAGTCCGAGGACAAACGGGTGGCCGCCGGTGGCCACCAGGAAGCAGGGATGCTTCCTCGCGACCACCACGCCTCCGATCGAGATGTCCACGCGGGCGACTTGCTCCACGGGGACTCCTCGACCGTCGAAAAGGTAGGCTACTCGTGGCTTCGGTAGCGTCTCGATGGAGGCCTTGGCCTGCCGGGCCACCGCGGGGTCGATGAACGACGCCGTGGCCCCTCCATCGATGAGGGCCAGTCCCTCGGCGCCTGGGATCGTCACCTCGCATTCGTACGTGGGGACGTCCGGGTGCCGCAGGATGCGAATTACCCCGGTCCTCGCGTCGACATCAAATGTCTTCCGCTGGGCTCCGAGGAGGGCCGCACAGGCTCTCAGGTCGCAGGGCGACCCGACGCGGGATGACCTTAGGCCCACGCCGGGAGATCGTTTCCCGAGGGGGCCTCTAGGTCGTCGTCGAGGTCGGAGTCGTCCTCCGAGGGGGCGTCGTCGGTGTCCTCGTCCTCGGACGCATCCGGGCGGTCTCCCAGGAAGACCCTCTGATCGCGGATGACGAGGGAGCGGACCTGGAGATTCTTGCGCTCTGGACAGTCCCTCTGGAGGTGATCCTCGCCACAAGTGTAGCAGAGGTTCATCTTCCGACGGTGCTCGTACACGTCGTTGGGCAGCGTGCGGAGGATGCTCCGCGGCGGCAGCGCAGGGCGAGGGCTTCCGCGAGCGCCGTCAGTCTTGCCCGGCGCCGCGGTGACCCCTCCCGTGGCGGGTTGGGTTCGGACTGCGGCGGTGCGTCCCGCAGGGCGGTCCGCGGTCGAGGAATGCCGGTGCAGCTCGCGGAGCAGCTCGTCCTGCTGGGTGGCCTCGTCCATGTAGGCATCAAGGTCCTCGGAATGGAAATGACCCATGTGGCGGCGGATCTCGTCCTTCAGCCCCAGCTTGAACCGGGTCAGCAGCTGGCCATCGTCGGTGGCGTTGGCACGGGCTGCCAGAGCAAGGAATTCCGCGGCGTAGTCCGCCACCGATCCAGTCTGAGTTAAACGCTGCAGCTTGACCGAGGCGGTATACTGCGGGTGGCGGTCACCGTAGGCCTTCCTGAGGTACTCGCGGAGGGCCTTCCAGCTGAGAAGCATCTCCGGGGGCTCCTCGGCCTGGCGGAGGTTCCGGAGGCGCTCCCAAGGGGTGCCCTTCATGTGGGCATAGGCGTAGTCGATCTTCAGTCGCTCCGAGGAGAACTCGCTCGGGCCGAAGCGGAAGGTGAGGTCGCACTGCTCGAGGAACTCCTCGAGCTCGGCCTTCTTGCCGTCCCACGAGGGCGCTGCGATCTTGATGCCCCTGGCCGAGGGGGCCCCGGCAGGCGACATCGAGGGCTCCCTTGGGCGCAGGTGCGGGGCGGCGTCGCGGCGGAACGACGGGGTGTGTAGGCGGGTTGGACTCCTCGAAACGCTCCTCGGAGGTCAGGCGAGCGGGGTCCCTGGCGTCTGCCGAGTATAGCGGCTCGGAGGCACCCCGAGGGGCCCCCTCCGGGCGGCCCGCCTCACTCTCCTGTGTCGGCGGTGCTGTGGCGGGCGGCCGTGGATCCCGCAGTTGCCGAGACCAGGCGGAGGATGTGGTCCAGGGTGTCCTGCTGACGGCGGACCGCTTCCTCGAGGAGGGCGAT